GAATAAGGTTAAGAGTGGCTTCCATTATTAAACTTATTAATCTATGCATGAGCACTACATATTTCACCTTAGAGGGTAAATTATACGAACAAACGCAAAGATTAGCGATGGGATCTTGCCTGTCTCCCATCTTTGCAAACAATTATATGGCAATATTAACACCTAAATTGTGGTTAGATACATGGATGACTATTTCGTCATCTGGCCTCATGGTAAGGAGAATTTAGACAATTTTGTATTTTCACTGAACCAGCCGTGAAATGGAAAGAGAATAAGTCCTTCCTTTTTCTGGACGTTCTCATCATTAGAGAAAAGGGTAGGTTAGGAAGAGATGTTTATAGGAAGCCAAAATATGTTGGCTCTTTGCTTAATTTTCTTTCCAACCATAGTTAAAAGACTAAGGTTGGAATTTTGAAATCAATGATTCTAAGAAGTATGAAACTAGCGAATAGCAAACATGTTCACTAAAGAGTTACAAAGGCTGACAAATGTATTCCTAAAAAATAATTATCCTTTGGGCCTAATTGAGAATAATATCTCTCTACTGAGGAATACATTTGCAGACGGAGACCATTTAGTCAAAAAGAGACGGACTGAAACCTTTTCCCATGTCATAATTTTGCTGTCATACCTTCTCTCAAAAATGTTTACGAATTAGTGAAGAAGTGGGGCATAAAAACAGTGTTCAAAGAAGCCCTCACACTTTCTTACGTTATGTCATCTTTTAGAGAGAAATATGACCTATTCTCGAGATCTGGCTGCTACAAGATTGGTTGCTCATTTGGTCGATGTTATGTTGGTTTGACATGCTGACCTATTCGACAAAGATTGGTAGAACACAAAAATACTTGCAAAGGTAGCTGGATCCAATGGTCAGAAGTGGCCGAAGACATGGTAGATACCGGACATGGAATAAAATGGTCTCAAACTAGTAGGTTTGCTGATTATGGTACCTCTATGGTTAAAAGAAAGATAAGAGAGGCTATTGAAATTAATAGCTCAGGAAATACATTGAATGTGAGGAACGGGTTAGAAGGTTAATTAGGAATTATTTATAGTTGATTGATAGATCGAAGGAGAGAGAGTGTGTTGAGTCGCCATCCAAAAGAAGACGACTCAATTTGTCTACTCAGTGATGGTTATAATTTCACTCACGTTCGCCCAAAATGTTAGAGTAAGCTCATCAACCAAACCAGACATGTCAGATTCCGCAACCCCAGTCTTGCCTTTCCTTGGGGCTTAGAGGTTAATGAACCTTGACTAAAATGTTAGGACAAGTGGTTTCGTAACTTGATTTTCATGCTTACAATCTTGAAGTTCGGTTCCACCATCATTATATGGAGATGGTTGAGTTAATGAACTTAACCTACAAGCTGCCAGAAGAGGCTAAGAATAGTATAGAAAGAGAAGTGATTCTTCATTTTAATATAGAATTTATTCCAAATAAATCGTATGACTTAGATAAAGTTGCTCGATATTTGCACCAAAATGATCTTTTTGCTTTAAATACAGATAAAGGTGGTGCATGGGTCACCAAGGATAGGTTAAGTTATATACAAAAAATGATGGTTCATTTAAATGACTCATAAACTTACAGACTTTTTATGAAGGATCCCACAGAAAGTCTTAAGACCGGACTTAGTGAATTGCTTAACATTTGTGTAAGTAGAGGAGAAATTGAGAAGTGGAAAATGAATTCACTTCTTCAGAGGGCTGCTAGGGCACATTCGGCTTACTGCCCTCCAAAAGTACACTAGGAAGGAGTTCTTTTAAGATTGATTGTTAATAACAAGGGTTCTGTGATGCATAGAATCTCACATTTCTTATGTAGACAACTAAGGAAATTGGCTGAGTATTGGAAATATTCGGTAAAGAATTAATATAAATTATCTAGATTAATAGCTCAACAGTGTATTAAAGAGGAGGATCTCTTGGTTAATGTTAATGTGGTTTCGATGCATACTAGCATCCCAGTTCATAAGGCCATTTAGGCACTAACACTCAGTCTGGGTGAGCACCCAGAAATTATTGGGGAGACAAATCTGAGCAAAAGCTCATCTTAAAGCTTCTTAATCTATTCATGATCAACACATACTTGACCTTTAATGATAAAGTTTATGAACAGGTACAAAGCCTAGCAATAGGATTTTGCTTGGCTCCCTTTTTGGCTAATAATTACATGTCGAGAATGAAGGAACACTTCATGGAAGAGGTGAGATTGACACAAAAACTGTCAGTTAGATGCATGAATGACAACTCTGCCATATGGCAGCGTGGCAACGATAGTTTAAATAATTTCTTGTTTTTAATTGACCTGATTGATTGGAATGTTAACTTGACAATGGAGCTGGAGATCAACAAAACTTTACCACTTTTAGATGTCTTAGTGATCAGAGCAGGTGAGAAGTTAAGCAGGAATGTCTATAGAAAGCCAACACATGCTGGCTTTATACTTAACCTTTTTTCCAATCATATTTACAAAACAAAGGATGGAGTTTTAAAATCTATGATTATTCGGAGCATAGGACTAGCCGATAGAGACCATTGTGATAATGAACTGAATCGGCTTAAAATAATATTTCTTGAGAATAACTATCCCCTAGGCTCGATTGAAAATAACATTTGATTAATAAATAATAGTTTTTTGAATAGTGACTACGTAAGGTGAGATAAGAATACCTTTTCTCATGTTTTGTCTTTACCTTCGAATATTTTCCCTAAAAGGAGAGGTGAGCAAGTAAGGAAGTGGGGAATAAAAACGATCTTCAGGGAAACTGAGACACTTTCTTGAGTAACGCTAACTTTTTGAGAGAAATTTGACCCCTTATCCAGATCGGGTTGGTGCAAGATATTGTGTTGATGCGGTCGCTTGTATGTTAGAAAGACTTGTCGTTTTATTCAACAAAGTGTGGTTGAGCACATTCCAGAAACGGGACACGAGATTGAATGGTCTAAAATCACTTTATACTTGATCAAAGAGGCCAGATGTAGAGTATTTATAGCACTTTTTAGCTATTTGTCGGTAAGTTTTCTTGACTAGTTAGCTTGAATTTTGTTGTGACGATGTTACCTGATCATGTTCGTCATATGGCACCGTTTCACCGGAATCGAAGGAGATTGCCTCGGAAACAGCGTCATTAAAGCCAATCGACAGCTGGTCAAAAGGAATCCGCCATCGTGTTTTGGTGGAACCGACCTTCGAATCTCTTCACCCAACACTTTCACTCAAAATGGAAGTCAGCTCAACAATTATGAAACAAGAGGTTCCTCGAAACGCAATTTTTCTTCGCATACTATTGGAATGTTAAAAAAACCTTTTAAGAAACACTATTTTTCCTTGGTGCATTTATACAATATTAAAAGTAGTTTAGCCAATATTTTTACTTCCAACAATTAGTAGAGAATTATGATAAATTTGACTTAAATATTCAAGGAGCTTTATTCAATAATTTATCAGCAAGATGTAATCATTTATATCGCAAAGTAATGTCGATAATTTTACTTAATTCTCTATTCTATTCTTTTACTATATCTTTGCGCTATTTCGATCTGTCCCACTTGTAGAGACGAAAGCTTAATTTGTATTTATTACTTCCGCATGGCGGTTAGTTGAGGACTAGTCATCATAATCCACAAATCTTCACTCAACGCTACTCAATCCTCGTTTAGATTCCGGTAAGACCATTGCACCAATTCCTACGAAATTGAAGCTCGAGTCACACCAACTCTTTAAGGGCCTCTTCGCAACCCACCTTTTCTTTATTCATTCGATTCTTTCGCAGTTTGATGACTAAAAATTTCTCATCACCCCGAAGATGTATGCAATACTTTCATATGGACGGCTTCTAAGGCCTGAGGAAATTAAGATCTGTCGCGAAGTCTGTGGGGAATAGAATTTCTAGCACAATCAGGATTCCGCTTTAATCTTCTGCAGTCGATCCATTCCGCAAGACTTCAAATCGTCACAGAACATATCACGTGTTCAACAGTTCTGCAGAATCTAGACCCCACAAAATATCATTGAGGCACAAAAGCCTAAAAGCACTTTTTATAAAAAAATCACTGATAATAATAATAATGATATTCTTGATCAAGATGACGAAGCTGGCAATGTCGACAATGTTGATGAAGTCGCTGAGGTCGACAAAAACGACGATGACGATCTTGGTGATTTACGAGTTGATGCCGAAGTTGAAGATTAAGACGCTGTTGACAATCACGATTCTCGTGACGACACTGTCGTCAAGGCGTCTGATTATTATTAATTATATGCTCATTGTCCTCCTGGCCAATCTTTCCGTCGGTACAGATTCGTGTCAAAAAGCCTCTTTTTCTCGGTTTTTCTAGCTTTCCCGGGCCGCTGTGCTGGCCACAGGCGGCGGTCGAGCTGATGAGTGCGCCAAAAGGCTAGTGAAGCTAATCACAATTACAATACAATGCAATGCCTATCGATCCGGTGCTGATCGATCCGATTTCAGACTCTCTTACGGCGGCAGCGGCGGCGGCGGCAGCGGCGACGGCGGCAGCGGCAGAGCAGTTGGGCGTGTGGACCGGCAGAAGCAAGTGGCAGCGCAGCGCAAGATGCCATCGCCTAAAAAAGGCAGTCCCGGGACGAAGAGTCCGGCGCAGAGCAAAGCGTCTCCGGCCGGCAAGAAGAGCCCCAAAAAGGGAGACGCCTCGAAGAAGGCCGTCCCCGAGGTGGAGGTCGAAGAGGATGAGGTCGTGGTGCCGGTCTGCGAAGGCATCATGCATCGTCGAATGCGTTACATCCTCGAGACGACGCTCAAGTCGGACGTCGACTTCCTCCTCGGCCCGGACGACTCGATCACGACAATCAAAGCGCACAAATGCATGCTGCAAGCGGAGAGTCCGATCTTTGAGAAGCTCTTCAACGAGTGCGATGAGTTCAAGGCCAGGGTGATCCGGCAACACGAGGAGGAGATGCGATTGGATCGGGAGCGCGATCGCGAGATGGAAGTAGCGGTGAAGCTGCAGGAGAGCCAGAAATCGGTGACGGCAGCCTCGACTGCGGGCAAAAAGAAGTCGCCCGAGAAGAAGGAGAAGCGCCCCAGCGGCCGAAAAACGCCCGAAAAGAAGAGTCCCGAGAAAAGCCCCAAGAAGAGTCCGGGCCAGAAGAAGTCGAGTCCGCCAAAGAAGAAGGAGGACAGAGGAGCGAGCGGCCAGAAGGTTGGCACTGAAGGCGAGGTGGAGAATAAAATTAACTTTCATCAGGACGTTGTAGAAGGTCTCGACTTAATCCGTATCCGCGACGTTCACCCACTCGGATTCTACAGGCTTTTACGGTACATCATTCCTTCTTATTCCTTAAGTTAATCCAACTACTCAGGAAAAACATCCATCCACTTTGTCACAACGATCAGATAGGTCAAACTAGGTGGTATAATTTAGAAAAATTTTTTTTCAAATTAAGTATTGTTTTCGTGACTACCAGTAAATCAGTAGTATGAGATGTTTTCACCCAATTTCGTTTAAGT